TTCTCCTGCCTCAGCCTCCTGAGTCGCTGGGATTACAGGCACGCACCACCATGCCCAGCTAATTTTTTGTAGTTTTAGTAGAGACGGGGTTTCACCATGTTGACCAGGACGGTCTCGATCTCTTGACCTCGTGATCCACCCGCCTCGGCCTCCCAAAGTGCTGGGATTACAGGCTTGAGCCACCGCACCCAGCCCCCTAGAGATGGGATTTTGCAATGTTGCCCAAGCTGGGCAACAACTGTTTCTATATTCCTCTAGGGAGACCCAGACCCTGGAGCGTGAGAATCAGATGGTCCTAGATTCTCGCTTCTCCACCCCCACCCATGGTTAATTTCATGAGCTTAGGAAATTTTGTCGCCTCCAAAGAGCCTGAATATCAGAGCACCCACCTTAAAGTATTGTATGAGGATTAAATGGGGTAGTATATGAAGAGCTTAGTTTGCTATTGTGCCCGACAATGTGTAAGTGGTAGTTAGTATTAAAAACTTTTGTTAAATTTGGGAAGTATATTTGGGTTCTGTGAATGAAAAAAATGTTTTTAAAGTAGTTTCTTGCTGGTGCGTTGTTGCTGTTTGCGTGTTCTGTGCCTTGGGAGTCTTTGAAACCTTGCTTTCCGGCCGATTATTATAATAAATCTACCAGTTTGATGAAGGCTTAGTGGTAGGGGGAGACCCTAGCCAAGTGTAATTCAAGAGCGGGCATTCCAGGGGGTGGGGGTTGGGGCCCCGGAGGTAGACGGTGGATGTGTAAAGCTGACTTGGGCACAAAACTGACCATGTGCTTTTGTCCTCTGGCTTGTTGGCTCGTACTTGAAATCTTGGTTTCTGTTCACTGACCTTGAGGAAAGGAAAGCTATTAAAATAGGCTGTAAAACTGGGAGGAGAAAGGGAAGAGGGCCGGTCTCAGGAAGCTGCCCTCAGGGGAGTGCTGAGGTGGACTCTGTGGCTCGCCCAAACTGTTCATTAGAGAAAAAGAGGAAAAAACGAAAGTATTTTGTAAAATGAAGGGTGACATCATGAAGTAAATCCCAGCAGCTTTTAACATTTTATTACATTAGTAATTATGTGATCATTTTGAAAAGTAAGATAATTAAAGAGAAAACAAATTCAGTCACCTGAAGTCCTCTACCTGTAGCTGATAGATAATATTTCATGTATTGCCTTGTGGATTTTTTCATATGTATCTATATATGTAAATTGAAAATGGGGTGGTTTTATACTGTGTTAACCTGCCCCCCCCCCTTTTTTTTTTTTTGGTGACAGAGTCTCATTCTGTCACTCTGACTGGAATGCAATGGGACCATCTCAGCTCACTGCAATATTCACCTCCCAGGTTCAATCAATTCTTGTGCCTCAGCCTCCTGAGTAGCTGGGACTACAGGTGCACACCACCACGCCCAGCTACTTTTGTGTTTTTAGCAGAGATGGGGTTTGACCATGTTGGCCAGGCTGGTCTTGAACCCCTGACCTCAAGCGATTCACCCTCCTTGGCCTCCTAAAGTGCTGGGATTACAGGCATGAGCCACCATGCCTGGCACTGTAACCTGACCTTTACTCTTATTGTATATATTCCTTCATGTCAGTGAGTGGAAACCTGTTATTATAAAATGCCATAGAGCATTTTATTTTATGTCTTCTGAAACTCTGTGGGTCTCTATCAGTTTATAAGGTACTCATAGGCAAAGTCCTTGGCTTGTACTTTATATCCCCCAAAACACCTGGCACAGTCCCCTAACAGGCAAACCCCTGTTGATTGCTAAATTAGACATTGAAGAAGATAAAGGTATGAGTCACAGCTATGATTTCATTATTTATCTTTTGATATAAGGCCATCGCCTATCAGCCTTTAAAACACATATATTAGTGATCATAAGACTACATTATACTTTCTATTACCTGTGTTAATTATAGTAATATTGGCATAACACTTAGGTTTTCAGAGCATTTTTTGTGTTTGGGACGACTGTTATTATCACTTGCATTTTGCAGTGGTGGAAACTGAGGTTAGGAGAATTTAAGTATGTTTTAATGCTCTTACCATGCTGCCTCTGTGTTTGACTTAGCTGGATGACTTTTATTTTTTTATTTATTTTTATTTTTTTTTGAGACGGAGTTTCGCTCTTGTTACCCAGGCTGGAGTGCAATGGCGCGATCTCGGCTCACCACAACCTCCGCCTCCTGGGTTCAGGCAA